GCCGGAGCGACGAGACAAAAACATTAAAACCCATTACAAACGAGGCATTTGTTGCATCCAGTGGGGACAAAATTACGCATTATAATGACTTATACTATCTTTTTGCGCGTTGCGTTGCATCGCGCCGCATAAACATAAAATCATGTCTGCATTTGTGATCAGAGAAATGACAAACAACAAGGGGCTGGACTCCGCTTCGTCCACGGTGAAAGCTGATTCGGCGATCCACAGGGCGAAGTTGATGTATTTCCTCAGCGTCCAGCACGAATCAGCTCCAGTCATGACGAAGCAGATATCGTCCTCTTTTGGAAGGCCAACCAAAGTAGTTTCGCTTTCACAATGAAACACACAGCGCCTTCACGACATGGCGGCGGCGGCAACAACAATACTACAGCGAGAATAAAAGTTACGCCTTCTTTCTTTGTGTGAACATTTGGGCGGCGTTATGCAGATCTTCCCACATCGTGACGTAGACATGTGGGGGTGTGTTAGAAAGAGCCGTTTTAGGTAGGCGTGGTTGACTCTTAACTTTTATAAAGAATATCTCTTTGGATTTGAGACTTTAGTCTTTACTTTACAGATCTTCTTTATGCACCAAGAGCTTGTATCACTCCAAATAGAAAGGAAAAATTTAAATAGTATCATATGACCCCTTTAAAACACGTTTAATTTAGACTTGTGTGTAGATGCTTGAAAATAGTTTTGTAGATAAATATTATGCACACATATTATGCCTATGTATGAATTCCTTGACGGAAACATACAGGAAGTCTTTCTACATTGTAGAATATAAAAAATATAAAATTACATATACAAATTATAAAAATACTGTTAAAAATATGATATTTCAATGTTGCATGACTTTATCTCCTTTAATAAAATGACTAAATGACTTTTACATTTTCTGATATGCTGTATTCCCAGGTTGGCAAGCCAATTTATCTAATGCAGAGAATCCAAATCCTCATCTTGAATATTTAATAAATGCATTCTGGAACTATATTGCCCAAGCAGCACATCCCACTGATAAAACATCCCATCTGAACTGGGACATAAAGTCAAGTAAGTACAATTTACCACCATTATTATTCTTAGCATAATTAATTAGTAATATTTTCTGTTACCAGACATAAACTACCTTTCCCCTCTACACTAGACTAACACAGACTCCTCCATCTGAAGAACAGATGACCAAAATCACCAAGGAGGCTGAAGTGTTGAGGGAACGTTTGGAAAAGGACCTGAACACCATAAGAGACAAACTGGAGCCCTATGCTGACAACCTCAAGAGCCAGATCCAGCAGAGAGTGGAGGAGCTCAGGACGGCCATGGCTCCATATGCTGACTCCCTGGATTCTGAGACCCTGAAGGCCACTCTGCTCCAGAAGAGTGAGGAGCTGAGAGGAAACCTGGAGCAGAGCGTGAAGGAGCTGCAGGCTCAGCTGGAGCCCTACACTGCTGAGATCAAGGATAATGTGGACCAATATCTGCAGGAAATGCAAAAGACTTTTGTTGCATCACCTGAAGATCTCCAGGCCCATATTTAATATGAATTACACTGGAGTTCTCTTTCATATTTCTATATTGCATTGTGATGTTTCTTGTTTTTTTTCTTGTTATTGCAACAATAAAACATCTGCAATCTATTATCATTTGTCACTGATATGTAGAAGACTGCATGCCCAATTTAGGGGAAAAAAAAAAACAAAAAACAAAAACAAACATGAGATTAATAACTCCTTGCTCACACTGTTGATTATGCTATGCGATGAGGACCTTAGTGGCCATCTTGCATTGTATAAGTGTGCAAAAATATTACAAAAAAATACATCTCTACATCTGGAATTTTATAGGTTTTATTAAGTTTTCTTGAGATCCTTTAATAATTTAGACTCAACTGTTTCATTTTAGTGTGATTTTTCTCTTTAGGCTTGATTTGTGTATTCATCTCCCATGATAAATGTTTTGCTTCTATGCAGGAATTGATAATAACATCAATAATTTAAATAAATAAATAAATAAATAAATAAATAAATAAAAGGAATACCAACCCTTATGGCATCACTAGCAGTGACAGTGCTCTCTAGTGGTGAATAATACAGTTTCGTATTATTGTATTCAGTGTAGCCTATGCTTTATTTCCTGTCAGCTTTTTGTTTTTCATTTTGGCAAATTATATCTTAACCAAGTTATTTTTTCTTCTTCGTAATATATTTTGATCTTGTTGGCTCATTAAAAACAAATATTGAGAAACATCCTCTCCGGACTTCACTTTTGGCCACTATGTAGTTTATTATAGGTCTAGTGCAATTGGAGGAAGTTTATGATAAAATTGCATAGTTTAACCAGATAAATATTAAATATTTCAGCCCTGTTACTGAGGTCATGACAATTCCATGGGATACTTACAGGATCAGTCTCGGGAGTCTATACTATTTATATATTATTTAATAAATGGCAAATTATTATCATTGCTAATAAAAGTTATCTCCTAGATTTAAGGCTAAAGGACAAGTGTAAAGCTAAAGCCAGCAGAAACAGAAACAAGGTTTTGAGTGATGTGTCAGATCTTATCAGGGCGTGCAAAACATCTTTTATCATTTGCTGTTTTATTAGGTCAAATGTTCAAACTTGGGGCCTAAGTACCTAAGATGGACTTTAAATAATAAGATTGTTCAGGATGAATCCTTTTGGGATTTAAGATTTTTATCAAATTTCTATTCAATTATAGGTTAGATATATTTTTATATGTACATTTCTTGTTTGCTTTTAGGCAGTGGGGAATTCTATTTTAAGTTATTATAAGTATTTTAATGACACTTGTCATGTTAAGTGCTAACTCTATTAATAATTTACACATACTTATTTTTACCCATTAAAAATTCCATCAAGAAATTCATTACTGCTTTCAAAGACAAAGTTCCAATCTTATCATTATCTGCACTGAATTTGAGAGTCTGTGGTGGTTGAAGGTACAGTTAGGACGTTATGATGTGGAGTAGTGACAGCAAGGCACTACCCACTGGACTTTGGGTTTCCACTACAGCAATCACCTTCAAAGACTTCTTTTGTCACTAACAGAACTACCGAACTACCCATGAACTTCAAAGTTAGACATATTTGATCTCTGTTTTCCTCTATTTAATCATCCTACCATGCCCTACACTAATGCAAAAAAGTAAAACATTTGATAAAGTCTCATTAATTACAGTATGCAATGTCCTTTACATTTGCAAATTCTCTTTTTTTCTGTGTAAAGGTGGATATTTATTTAGTAAAAAAAAGGAGAAAAATGTGATACATG